TTCCACTGATTAATTGTTCTAACTGTCAGGAAATTTCTCCTCAGTTCTAAGTTGCTTCTCGCCTTCATTGGTTTCCACCCATTGCTGCTGCTTCTACCTTCAGGTGCCTTGGAGAATAGTTTGACTCCCTCTTCTGATGCTCTGATTCTTCAGTCAATACAAAAGATTGTCCCATCTTTTCCTCTTCAGAATTTTACCAGCTTCATTCACTTATGTTCAGACATTATAATGTCCAGCAAACATATATTCTGTTTATTTAGAAGCTGCTCACAGTGAACTGGAATGAATATACCGTAATAAATAATTTGGATATTAATTTAGTAGTTTGTATTTCTTCTGGAATTTGTGCTGTGCTGAGGTCTGTAATCTAGCCAATGTACAGTACCAGCAGAATCGGTTCCCTGGATCATAGAAGGAGGCACCTCCATGTTGTAGAGGTAATTCAAATTGTCTTTTGGATGGAGGGGGTCTTTGATGTGCAGGGATTGGGGCTGCTTGTAAAACCAAAATCTTGGAGAGATTTGTAGGATGCTAGACCTATGTTGAATTTCTGGTTTGTTCTCTCTTCTAGTTGCACTTCCGGATAATAGAAGGATTGAGAGTATGTCTTATTTTCTAATAGTAGTCCCAAAGTAGATTGTTTATAACTGACTTCCCGAGGCTCCTCCAGCATGACTAATTGGTCAGGAATGGTATCATTCACTTCTATTATTCCAGGACTCATCTGCATGTGAATAACAACCAAATTAAAAACTGACTTCATAGTGTAAATCATAGTAAATATAAAATTTTACTCTTCCCCTCCTCATCTAACTCTGCTGGCACTGGGAGATGAAACGGGTTGTCAGCAGAGCTCAGATTTCAAAACATAGTGATTTGCTGGCAGGGAGGGGAGATGGCCTTTTGCTAGTGAATTAAGCTTTGGAAAGTGCAAGTCTTTTTCAAGGCAATCTGATCATACTCAGCTGTGCTAACAATTGTTTCCCTTCCCTGCAGCAGCAGAGCTAGCTCAGATTTCAAAACGCAGAGTTATGCTGTCAGAAAAGGGGCATTACCGTATTTTTCAGAGTATAAGATGGTCCAAAGTATAAGACACACCTGATGAAACAGCTGATGGTCGGGAGGCCGATCCAACTGACAATCAGCTGATTGTGCTAATCAGGCTGTGCTGAAATTGAAACTGAGATAGGCTGCAAGGAGGCAAATTTTTGGGAGGCAGAGACCAAAGGGTAGGGGGCGGTGGGTGGGCGGGGCTACAAGATGCACCCAAACATCCATCTTCTTTTGGGGGGGGGAGTGTGTCTTATACTTTGGACCATCTTATACTCTGAAAAATACGGTAATGCCCCTTTTCTGACAGCATAACTCTGCGTTTTGAAATCTGAGCTA